TAGTCGACACTATAAGACTTTTGCAACTTGAAAAAGAGTGTGGAAATTTGTTTGCAACCTGACACTGGTGCATAGAGAGCAGAAGCTGTGTAAATGGTTGTTACGTGATTTAGCCACAAACACAAGTAGCTTAACAACGGTGCACACAAATCTGTCAAGCATGTGAGAGTTCGTTAACACAACAAGCTAACATTAAATACTTTCTCCCTCTATAGCTTCTCTTTCGCTCTGTGTCATCTGACGATAGACTAACCACGTACAGTACATCTGCCCCGGATTACACACCTTAGATTAGTTAACGGTACAGTACTCTCAACATTACCTGGTTAACTGGAGTAAAGGCATATTATTTTAGCAAACTCAGCATGTTTAGCTCCGTGCTGCTAGCAGACAAAAATCATACAGTGGCTAGGTAGGTTCACTAATACCACATACATAAAAACATACGTTTGTGTTTTTAAATTGAGTTGTAAGCAATACATTGTCCACTCACTAGTCAATCTCGATAAACACGTGTCAACCGGTATGCATGATGTAAAACCATACGAACCATAACATTTTATCCATGTGTTTCAAGCTTATCCATGTGTTTCAAGCTCAACCGGGGTCATGGATGTTTAAAGAGGACTGGACACAGCGTCGTAGGCGGGGCCACCGGTCAGTCCTATGAGGGTTGCTCAGTAGCGTATGAAGCCAAAATAGAGCACATGTTGATTCAGAAAGTACCCGGATCATCCGGGGCCTTTTGTTTATACAGCATGCGCACTGGATTTTAGCGTAAGCCCCGCCTCCGATCTCCCGCTCTCGGCTCAGTCATCAGTTTTTATCGAATTTTACAATCGTTAAACCCTCGTGATTTAAAAAGTGTTTGTGCTGGGTAGTTTATTTAGCTCAAAAATACTTCTACGTTCTACGTCAGACGTCTCGTTCCCTAACTAAGTCAATGGGAAAAAGTATTTCTGGGCCGAAATCACTTGACTGAAGTTGTAGTACCACCGTTTGGACATTCCAAAAATCAGCTTCGATGCTGGTACATTCGACGAGGTAAGTGTCTTCTTCAACCCGGAAATACTGTCCCTGGTATAATGGACATTGTACTTTTGTTATTATTCTCAGGGCCGGCTCTAGACATTTTGGTGCCCTAGGCGAGATTATGATTTGGTGCCCCCCCCCCCCTCCAAGCAATACACAATAGAATATAAAGAATAAATGAAAAATCTCTACAAAAGACCAATACACTACAAAAACTGAAATATATTGATATTGACATGGTTAAATACATAAAGAAGGTTTCAAATATATTCATTATTGTATGAACATGTTTTAATTGGGAGGTGGACGACACATCCTCTGGGGGGGGTCCCGGGGGTATGTCACCCAGGAAAGATTTTTTTTTTTTACATTTTAAAGTAAAATGCTTCAATCTGGTGCAAACACAGAATTACTAGAGAATACTAGATCTAGGGGGTACATCTCTAAAACACCCATATGAAAAAGATCGGTTTACATTTTAATAATCAAATAAGTATGTGAACATAACCAATAACCAACCATAGCCAATAACACATAAATATAACGTATTTTATTTTTGTTGTTCATTTATATCATATTTTACCTAGTTAACATTCATTTATTTATGTATATTTTTGTATCTCTCTCTTTGGTTTACTACAAGTATACATTGGAATGATTTCAAACCTGTTTATATGTATCCTAATAATTATAAAGGAGTGCCATGGAAATATTTGTTTACATAAATTGTGACCAAACCGTTTGAGACCCACTGAGATAACTTGGACTAAAGTAAACTATCTAAACACTCAGAGTCCTTTACCTCACTGAGCTGTAGTTATCAGCCTCAATCCAACAACAATCCGCGGTACCGATGCATGTGCCCTCTCTCTCTCTCTCTCTTGCTCGCTCGGAGGCTAGCTCGCACTTTGGCTGTGAGCTGCGGGCGCCTAATACGCCAACATCCCCCACTTTCATCACTTACAGCGCCCATCGTACAGGGCAAATGAAAAGTGTAACCGGGGTGAAAAGGGTGTTACCTTGACTTAATTATGAATGTTGTTACATCTAGGCTGAAAATTAGGATGAGCCAAACAGTCAAAAATGTTTTTTTTCCCTCCCAGAGCAGCGCCCCCCTAGATCTTGCGCCCTAGGCAACCGCCTATTTCGCCTATGCCAAAAACCGGCCCTGAGGGGCAGCCCCACCTAGTGTCAGCAGAAAGTATTACAAATAATGATTACAAATAAATGCTAACAAAATATATAAAATATATATTTAAACCATGTTTAATAATCTGATTCGTCTGTACATTGCTGTTTTAGTCTGTGTTCTTCTAATTAGTGTCTACAGTGTGTGCCCATTTAGCTGTTTAGAGCCATGTGGGTCAAGCNGCGCAGGCTACACACCGAACCCGCCCCGCGGCGGCTGCGGCGAATAATCGATTAATATTCGCCAGGGCTGTCCGATTTTCGAATTTGATCATGGTCAGTTTCTGGCATCCCTAATATCTGCAAGGTGCCAACACTTGTATCTTAAAATCTGTAACTGACCATGATCAAATTCGAAAATCGGACAGCCCTGGCGAATATTAATCGATTATTCGCCGCAGCCGCCGCGGGGCGGGTTCGGTGTGTAGCCTGCGCTGCTGGCTTCCTCCAAGTTTACAGTAAAACAAACTGGTGGTGTGACCAATGGCCATGTACAAGTATTAATACTATTACTATTATTAGCATTAGTCTATATTTTGGTTGAAACTAAGCCAGGAAAAAAAAGAAAAACATAAATAATAATACAAATATATATAAATAAAATCGAATTTTAAAAAATAATTTTCGATTATGGAGACTGTAACGAATATTCGAAAAATCGAATAATCGCTGGCATCCCTAGCAGATATACACCCACAGCATAGTATGTGGTTACATTCTAGGTATGATGTGACGTGATTTAATTGGCAGATAATCATTTATTTTATTAAAAGTGACAAAATAGTATACGATCTAATTCCTGGAGAATTCAATCTGACTGTGACCCTGATGAACTGTCAACTAGATTCATAAAGAAAACAACAAATCTAGCGTGACCCAATAGCTTTTAAAATAGCCAGTATGTAACACTCATTGATTTGTATGTTTGTATGTAAGTCATTATTATTAATCAGCAGGTTTTTTTCCTAGATTCATCATTTAATCTTTTATAAAATGTCAGAAAAGTTTATTACAGTTTCTTGGTTTTCATGATGATGTCTTTAAATGTCTTGTTCTGTCAGTCCAAAAGCCAAATATATTCAGATACAAAACAGAGAAAAGCAGGACATGAAAAATCACTAATATTAGCCGATTATCGAAACAGACAAGAGTTACTTTTTCTGTATATAATATTGATTAACCCATTAGTTGACACACTTATTGTATCTCTCATATATTTGTTGAACCACAAAATGTATTAATAATAATATAAAAACAAGACTTGGGTAGATAATTCAGCACAAAAAAGTCAGCAGAACAAGCTTTCAGAGTTGTTGCACCAGAGGCGGAAATGATAGTAGGACATATAATCAATCACAGAGTCCTCCAGCCGATAGCACCTTAGGGAGAGGAACTGCACAAACATTGATACTGATGTAGAGCTGGGAGGAACAGTGGATGGATTTGGAAATACCCTAACCTGCTCATTCTCTGATTCAATCATCATTTTTGTTAACTGCGTCAGAAAGGTGATGATTAACACACGATGAATCCTGAGGCATAAGTGTGTGATTGTATCTATCATCCTCACCTTTTCAGCTAAATAAGTATCAAATAAAAACCTGTTTTTCTTCTGGAGATATTTCAGCATAAAGCATGTTTGATGGTACGCCCATGTTTAGGCATAGAAGTATAAAAAATTTCTCCTTCCACTATAATAAATGGAAGTTAAAGATTTGTGGTGCTCAAAGTAAAAGAAAAGTGCATTTAAGACAGTTGAAAACTCATTTAAAATGTAAAAAAGGCGTTGTTTCAGGCGAGGTAGCCTACTAAACCTGCTTTACAGACGGTAGTAGAGTTCATTTTCTCTACCTAATTGACTGAACAATGAATATGTTTTTCTGTTTGCTCATTGTAAGATACTGCCATCGGTTGTGTATATCTGAAAAGCCATGTCCAAACAAACACATTGCTAAACTCAGGCCCGCTGTGTCCCCAGCTGATTTGAAAAGGTTTAATGGGTGTATTTCCTCTCGCTTATCTCCTGCAGCCATGGATGTAAAACAACTTCTACTTCTATGTTTTATTCCCTTTCACCTGCCTTAGCAAGACTTCTGTAAAAGTGGTCCAAAAACTGCTGCAAGCATTTGACCAAGTGCTCGAAATGGTCTCATGTGACTCCCATTAAGATTTCTTTCCACTGGCTTTCCACCAAATATTTTTAGTTTAGAGCCTTGCCTGTTTAAAGAGCACAGCGGACCTACAGTACATCAGGTCTGATCGGGGTTTGTTGGTTATCCCCGGGCTCAAGACAAAAGGAGAAGGTGCCTGAGGTTGTAACTCCTAAACCTTGCAACTTTTTTCCTTTTTACATGTCTTTAGCTTTGTTGGTATCCTTTAGTATAGTTTGTCTTTCACTTGTTGTTTTGTGTTGTTGTTTTTTTTACCTAAAATCACTTTATAAGGTATGCTGTATGAACAAATGTGTGGTCATTATTATATATTGTTATTATTATTACTATCATCTTCAGAGCCAGTTTGTATTCTACATCTCTTTTGTCAAAACGCTTACTGGAATATCTAGCAGTATTTAAAAAGAAATACAGCTCTGAAAAAAATTAAGAGACTACTCCACATTTTTCTTAAATCTCAATCTCTACATGTATGACAGCCATTCTATTCCAGTGTCTGTTGAATTCCAACACAGAGAGAGGTTGTCAGTAGTTTGAAGAATATAATAACAAATGTTAATTTTACTCAAACACATACCTATAAATAGTAAAACCACAGAAACTGACATTGCTGCAGTGGTCTCTTCATTTATCCAGAGCTGTATGTAGTGTGAGGTTCACTCTGCACATCTTACCGACAATTTCCCCTGTCATGAAGAGGAAATAGAGCAAAGCTGCCATGACCAGCCTCTTCATCACTTTCTTGTGTTTGATGCTGTCCCTCTTCTTGGTGCAGTTCTCGCAGGGGTCCATGTTGAGCCCCGGGCTGCCCAGGCTGGAGGAAGAGTCCAGCAGGGAGTCATCATCATCCGCCGACACCACCAGCGTGTTCACCGCCACCCCGTTGGAGTTAGCCCCGGAGGAGTAGTCCGACATCTCCCCGGAGACCACCACCTTGAGCTTGTTGAATTTGGGCGTCTCGTCGTCCCCCAGCTCGTTGGAGAAGTCGAAAGGCTCGGTGTCGCTCAGGTCCCAGTCGTTCCTCTCCCTCCTGAAGACGGACCGCACCTTGCTGAAGAGCCTGCCTCCAGACATCTTTGCTAACACTGAGGTTTATCCAGGCCTCTCTATGGAATCAGTTCCATTGTTGTAGGTTCAAGTCTTGCATTTCTACTCCGGTTGAGTACCTAGAGGAGACACAATAAATTAAACGACAACGACATTTACGACAACTCAACGACAACGCAATTCACTCCAGATCCTTTCAGATTATCATTGTGGAAGTTGTGCTGGTTAACTTTGAGTCATCTTTTAAAAATATATATAGCATAAGCTAAAGAGTAACAAGCTAGCTAGTAAACGTTAGCTGTCTTGTCGTGATAGTTAGCCACACACAGACATGTAATGTAGTCGAAATACAAGCCGGTTTACCTAATATATATCCTTTATGGTTGTCAAGTATCGATTCGTCTTTAAATTGAAAACTGTCATTAGACTGGTGTCAACATCAGTCGTTGCTCTCACCTCCCCGTCTGCATTAACAAGTTTGGTTTCGCCCACAGTCACGTGATGACGCACGAGTCACATGACGTTTTTTCCAGACGCACATCCAAACATCTCTGCTGTTGTTTCTCTTTCTTGTGTGCGAAAAAACGGAACCCATTACACAAAGTTACTGTTAAATAGACAAGCAATCAGGTAAGACTATGTTGTGACTGTTAGAGGTTGTGTAGTTGCTGATGTGTCACGTTATGAAGCTGCTCAGCATGCTAGCTAATTTACTTCCTCTATGGTCAGATGTTCTGATAAGCTAACTGATCATTTACAGCCGACAAAATGTGACTGATTTATTGATGCCTCTTTTTCAAGTTCTGAAGCAGCCTGGGTCAACAGAGTCGTTGCATATGGAGGTAGAGGAGATGGAAGATGAAGGACCTCCACACATTGAAGGTATGTGTGTGTGTGTGTGTGTGTGTGTGTGTGTGTGTGTGTGTGTGTGTGTGTGTGTGTGTGTGTGTGTGTGTGTGTGTGTGTGTGTGTGTGTGTGTGATCTGGCATCTGCCGTCTTGACTTGTCTGGCATGAATTTCTGTATAGATTGTTACAGATAGCTGTTAGTTTGTGCCTTTCATGCATCCTTATTACATATCTATACGACAGTGTTGTTCCCCAGCTCAATATATTTTGACAGAGGGTTTTACATTCTTTGTAACATTTTCTCCTTAGGTAAGTTTTCAAAGTACATTTTCCCTGGTCAATTTTAAAACCAGCTGCAGATCATTGCCAACTGATGTCATACTGATTAAAACCAGGCCCTTAAGTTTGTGTGTATGACTGTTTTCTTATACTTCAGACAATGATATCTCTTTCAAGTTGGACCTTGCGAAACAAGTTAAAATGAGTGTTGTACTGTCATTGCACAGTTACTTAACCCCAATACTACCGTCTCTGTTATTATATATTGAGGTGTAAGAGGACATGAATAGTCATGAACATGGGTATCTGTGTCATTTTAACCATATCCATGTCAACATTGTCCAATTTTCAGAAAATTAGTATGTTCATGAATAAATAGCATGCACATTTTATTGCACAGTTGTTATACTTGCACTGTTTTATTTTGGTGGAAAATAAATGAATATGGGGTGGACTGTGCAATGTCTTCAGTACTGAGACCACCTAGAAGGATTAAAAACTGTAGAACTGCAGCTGAGGGAGCAGATAGCGAATCGTACGCCAAAATTATCCATGATGGTAGTTTCATACATTTATTTCTTCATCCAACAGTACAACATTTCCAATACGTGCTGTGACTTTCCTATTGCATGCTTGTTTCACCCTGGTAAAAAACGATATGCTTACTGGTACGCTTATCCCACCACCGCCTGTCTCCCATTATATACAACTACACCAGGTGCCCAAATCACCGAGTGTCCAAAGATGCCTTCAAATGAAAGCAACTTTATCGAACTTAAATAATAACACATAAATAATAATACATTTACTATAAACAAAACAAAACGAAAATATATATAACAGACATAATATATAGCTCCAACACTGTGTGACACAATACTAAATACATGATTTCCTCAACATGTGACAGAGCTCCAGTTGGACTGTTTGGAGAGCACGGCGCCTGTAGAGAACGTGTTTGTTGATAAGAAAGCTGTGGACAAACTCACAGAGGGATTACTCTCTCACTACCTACCAGATCTACAGAACTCTAAACGAGCCCTGCAAGAGCTCACGTGAGTATTTTGCTTGTTTGGTTTTAGGTACGGCCATCCCTAATAAATACACATTTCACCAGTATTATCTCACCACAATGGTTTTAATAAGCACAGCCTTATTCAAGCTACTTGTGGATACAACTTTAAAAGTGGCAAGATTAGAGACATATTAATACATCCCATGGTGGAGAAAGTTTATAATGTTTTTCTTCCAACTAAAGATTACAATCAGGGACTTCAGGGATATGTTATCCCAAACAGGTTTTGTTGTTTAGTTCCTTCACTTGGTTAGTAAGTGCTTAAATAAATAAAACATTTATTTTCAATGTAAATAAGAAATAATAAAAAACTTGCTTGTTTATTGCTTTTGATTTGTCCTTCAATATTAAGGATGGTCCCATCTATCCCAGAGTTAAAGAGATCATAAAGGACGAAACTCAGCAATTACTGAGTACATAAAACAGCCAACAGGTGACTGTCAGTATGTGATTCCTATAATGACAGAAACCAGTATACAGTAAACGACTCTGTGGCACAGGTCAACATGCTTCAGGCAGAACTGGATGGATGGGTTGTCTTGTTGCTTTAATGCTGGTAGTGCTGAGTTTACCGTTCATTTCACTATGAACATGCTGGTTCACTTGTCAAGAACAAAGTCAACATGAACAATCTGTGCAACACTTCAAAACATCCAGGAATGTATCTGAATAATTAGCGCATGTGAATATTCTCTACATATTTACTCTGATGGAAGTTTTGAATATTTAGAAGATGTCCTTTCAATTTAAGAAATGTTTTGTTGAAAAAAGGCCTCTTGACTCTAGTTCTTTCTCTCCATTTGTATCCTGACCAGACAAAATCAGGTGATATTGTTAGACACACTGGACCAAGAAGTCACCAAATTCAGAGATTGTAATGCCTTACTGGACCTCAATTCACTGGTATGTTGGGACTGAATTATAATCTCATATTTCACACTTATCATTGTCTGTTTTCTTTACTTACCAATGGGAATGCTTTCTAATCCAGTTTGTTGTATTTAGTTTACAGAGGCAAAGGTTTACCACAATAAACTGGTGAACATAAGGAAAGAGATGATCATGCTCCACGAAAAAACAACTAAACTAAAGGTACCTTTTCTTTGAATGTATTACTGGGAAATGGGTGATGCGATGTTAAAAAATGGCATGAAAAATGTGTGTATTAATGCAAATAAACGGTTCACACACTGTTTGAATGTTAACTTGTGTCTTCTCTCAGAAAAGAGCCTTGAAGCTGCAGCAGCAGAAGCAGAACGAGGCGCTGGAGAAGGAGCAGCAGCGTGAGAAGGAGCTCGAGAGAGAAAAGCGGCTTGTTGCCAAACCTGCGAAAAGATCTTAGGATCCCCGAGTATGTCTGCTGAATGAATGTACAGGTGCTTTTGCATGCCTTAGCCTATTTATTACATATCAACTATACTACACATGACTACTGCTGAACATTTTCCAAAGCAAAAGTATTTTAGACTTTTAAAAAATGATAATGTCTGAGCTTTTGGGCCTTTATTTTACTGGATACAGGGAGAGAGAGGAGAGATTAGACACAGTTTAGTTTTCAACCAGGAACATCCTGATCACATATCCATTTTACGTCTGTAGGACTGACCCCTCATCATTTTTATGTTTCAGAATCTGTTTGACTGCCATCCACTCATTTTGGTACTTATCTATTTAAAACATGCTCAATACATGTGATCTATTATAATTACATTATTGTTACATGTTTATGCAGTTGACAGAGGTCACTCATGTGACATGTTTGCTCTGAATTACTTCAAAGTACAACAGCATTTTTTGTATAGCTTTATTGCCTCTCAAACATTGAATTCTCAGCAGGTCAAACTCCATTGGTTTTGTTGTGATAGAAATAACGCCCAGGTGTACTACCTTTTAGCTGCAAAAATACTTTTGGTGGACAGCTTCTCAAAAAAAATAAAAATAAAGATTGGTTTGAAATGGGGCTGATATATTGCTTTCAATAGAAACATTATTTTTTTATGAAACACCCTTCTTTATACCTGCACTGAATTAGAAAAATTTGATTTTTAATGTGAAAGTCTAAAAAAAAGTATTTGTAAATTAATTGAGAACAATCGATTCCAAAATCTTTAACACAAATAAGAATAGAGTGATATGCTTTGGGATATGGTTCACATAAACAGTACACGGTAAATAGGCTAAAAAATGCAATAAGCATGGTATGGTCTTTTATGTTGAACATTGCCAATATCACCACAAACCAAAGATCTGGACTGAATCATCCAATGCTGGTACTTCTCACTATCAACCTCTGGTGACACACAAACTGGAGCACTTCCCCGAGAGTGGAACAAATCGCTCAAAGACACTTTAGCCGCCGTCAGACAATTGCCAGGAGGAGAATCAATGTGGTTGCTGTCTTTTGTTAAAGATTAAGTGTTAATATAAGTTGTTACATGCCCTGTTAGTGTTGAATGTTATAAAACAAGTATGTTGTTTGGATAGATCTGCATTCTGCACTAAACATAACTGACTGTATTTCTGCGATCCAGATGATGAATTTGTGAACATATGTACAAAACTTTGCCCCGCCACACACAGCAGCTGTTAATTAATATGTTAATGTGTTATTTGTTAATTATATTTGATTTTTTAGACCTCTCAAAAAGGCTTCTATGCACTACCCGCGCCTGGAACTCCACTGTTTATACAATTCATAATAAAATAACACAAACTGGTCTGAAAGTGCATTTCATTTTTTTTTTCATTACCTGGTTTTAGTATGCTTAAGCTGTGCACTTCAGTATGTGTGAGAGGGTGAGTACCGCTGTAGTGGTAATTTTCATTGATGCACACATTTTATAATGCCAAATTGGTTCTCAAGTGTGTGTTTTAGAGACTCACTTCTTTATGTCTACTGCATGGTGTGAAATAGGGCTGCAACTTACAATTCAATTATTGAATTTGCAGATTTGCTTGATTGTTTGGTTTGGTCTTCGAAACAGTAAGAACGCCATTCCGAGTTTCTAAAAGTGCAAGGTGATCTTTAAATTAGTTATTGTGTACACCCTAACATATTCAGTTTAATAAGATACAAAAAACAACAACAGAGAGAGCAAGACATCTCCATTGGAGCTGAGAGGCAGAAAACAGCAATATCTGCAATTTATGCATGAAAATATACTTTTACAAATTCATCAACAATCAAAAATAGTTAGCCATTTTTTCCGGTCAATCAACTAATCATTACAGCCCTGAAGAAAATGTCCCTTTTTAGGGCCATGTGTACAAT